AGAAAGAAAGAAAGAAAGAAAGAAAGAAAGAAAGAAAGAAAGAAAGAAAAAGAAAGAAAAAGAAAGAAAGAAAGAAAGAAAGATAGATCTGTGCTTCTCCTCTGGCCTGGGCCGATTTTCAGTGTCATTATCACTGGAAAAGGGGAAAGAGGGGCTCTGTGGTTTTGGGATGGGCTGCCATGGCCCCCAGGCCTGTTCTCTGCCCCAAGTCCAGCAGGTGTAATCCAGCCACTTCCATGCCCTTTCTCACCTTCCCAAACACTCTGACCACACCTGACCTGCCCTGGGGATGTGATTCCTGGTGGTGCCAACCTCCAGGATCGTGTGGGTCAGGGGCAGCGGGCCAAGGTCACTGCTGGGTGTTACACCCTGGGCCCAGGAGTGTCCCCTCAGGCCCCAGTGACCAGGCTCCTATTCCTGAGCTGTGCATCCACCTGGGAGCAGAGCCTGGGCTGGGGAAGGATTGGGAATCCCAGTGTCCCACTAGTTCACAGCACTCACCAATGAATCAACTCCCAGGAAGCACAGGGGGAGGGTTATTACCTCCAGCACCTACAAAAGGAGACACTGAAGTGACAGGCAACTTCCCTTCCCACCTTTTGTGGGGATAACACAAACCAGCAGAGCACAAAGACATCCAAAACATCGGTTATCAAAGCAGCCCCAGAGTTTTCTGTCAAAGGAGAGGTTTCACAAGGATGTTTCTGGCATGGGCGGATTCCTGGCGAAACAACGAAGGGATGCAAACGACACACGGCCCTTTCTCCTCACGGGAGAGTCAAAAAGCTTTCAGAGGCTTCATAAAAGCCGAGCTGCTCACGTGGAACAGCTCAGATGGGAAGGGGGGCAGAGGAAGCGCCTCCCCCTTGCAGCAGCTCTCCAGCAGCAGCTCAGGATTGCACTGGGTGGGGAACACTCTCGGCTCCAGGCACGGGGGGAGCTCAGCAGTTTGCAGGATTGGGCCTGTGCTTTTGTTCCTCTCCCTCCCCACACCCTTCTCCACCCTCCCTTTGACAGCCCCAGGAGGGAAGGACTGATGGCAACCCAGCACTTCAGTCACAGTGCAGGCCCAGGACCCTGCCGGTGACATTTGGGCCACGAGTGAAGTCCCCCAGAGTAATAAACAATCAGGTGAAGAAATCTGGGAAGAAATTACCCAGCACACCTCGTCTCCTCGGCCCCCAGGAGATCCATATGAGATGTGTTAATGCATCTGATTATGATCTAAATTATGTACAGAGGCTCCTGCCAAGCACTCGGTGAAGTTTCTTTATTGTTAAGTTGGAAGCTGCTTAAGAACGGTCCAGTCATCACGTTTCAAATTACATTTGGGGAAAAAAAAACCCCAACCATTTTCCTATTTCATTGCTGGCTCAGAAGACAAGGTGGGTGTGGGGGTTTTCTGTGCTGAAGGAAGAGCAGGAGAGGTGGGGACAGAAGAGGAGTCAAACTATTCCCTGTCCTTTACTGTCACCTGAGCTGAGGGGGTTCACTGTACAGACACGCCAGAGAATTCCCACATGGCTTTCCAGATGTGGTTTTTTCCCCAGAAGGGAGAGTATAAACACCAAGGTGTTCATGGGAACAAGGGCCCTAAAACTTGGAAAGAAAGGGTTTCTGGAAGAATTTTGATGAGAAAGGCTGGGTAAAAAACATGACCTGAGACTTTCAGCACACCTGTGAGGGCCACCTGAGCTGTCACCAGATCACTGTGCTGCTTGGAGGCAGGAGAAAAAGCTGATTTTCTCCCCAGAATGTCACACCAACAGTGGAGCTTCTTAGAAAAATATAGATAAAACACCTCCCAGGTTTATATTCCATCCAAGCAAGTCTGGGAGAGCACATATAAATATGCCAGACTGCCACTGCACCTCTTATTGAATCACAGAATGGTTTGGGAGGGAAGGGACCTCAAAGCTCATCCAGTTCCACCCCCTGCCATGGGCAGGGACACCTCCCACTATCCCAGGTTGCTCCAAGCCCCATCCAACCTGACCTTGGACACTTCCATGGACTGGGAGCCCACAACCTCTCTGGGCAACCCGTGCCAGGGCCTCATCACTTTTACAGTAAAGAATCTCTTCCCAATATCTAATTTAAACCAGCAGATCTGGAGGAGATTAGGGACCAGAGCTACCATTTCTAGCCACCACGGTGATGTAGTGGTTTAAACACCAAAAAAAAAATATGCTTTAATGTAGGATCACAGGCTGGATCCCAGCCAGGCAACAGCCCTGCTTTAAAAGGAAGTACTTATCTCCATGGAACACTTCACTGAACAACACACTCGATCCTTGAAAATGAAGCCTTGCTAAACAACCGGATTTTAACCTGGAATTCTGCATTGTTGGCATCCTCTGCTGCTGCAGGTAAATCTGATTCCCTCACCCAGCAGGTTGATTTTCTCCCCAAGAAAAAAAAAAAGGAATTTTCTCTTTCAGTTTAACTTTGAGGCAAAGATGGAAGACCACAGCCTGGCCTCAAAGCCGAGAGATCTTTTGAACTCCAAGTCAGCAGGATCTCACAGGAGCTGAGCTCGAGGGCTGCTCTGGAATAAATCAAAAACGATTTACTCTTTCCCTTGAACAAGGCAGGAAAAAAAAAAAAAACTCCTCAGATGCACAGATATGAGGCTGAGGGTGAGGAGGCAGCAAAAAAAAAAACTAATAAAAAAGGCAAATTAAGAGGGCCCTGATGGCTTGTTACGGTCCCACAAGCTGAACACCGTCCTGCATGGCTGGATTTCCTGGAGGAAATCAGCAGCACAGTTGCTAAACCTGCTGGAAGAGGTTCAGCCCAAGAACAGATGGAGCAGATGCTCCAAACACAGCACACAAGGACAAGGAGCTCCTGGAGAAACCTTCTGACAGCAAGTCAAAGCAGGGGCTTGACCTGGTGCTGTGGCACTGGAGATGCAGCTGGCATTTCTTCACAGATTAGCAGAGTCCAAGGCCAGAAGGGACCTGGAGAGCACCTGCTCTGCTGGTGCTGTATCACAGCCCATTCCATCTCATCCAAGTTTTCCCAGGAGCAGGAGTCTGACTTGGCAGCCAAATCCCAACTTGAATTAACTATGGTGCCTCCCAGTAAGAATCCACTGTGGAAGCAACTTCCACCCCAAAATCTGGGCTGGCAGAGAGGCTTTGTGTAGGATGTTACACCTCCTCTGGGTGTCCTGGTGTCCCTCTGCCAGGAAACACCGTTCCCTGGAAGAGGCACAAGTGGCTCCGAGCTCCAGCCACTTCGCTCTCGACACCTTTGCCCAAGCCCAAACCCATCAGCAGTTTTGACAACACTCCAGAGCCTGAGTTTGCCTGAAGGAGCTCAGCACAGGGCATGAAATCCCATCCTCTGGCTTCCTTACCGGAGTGAGAGGAAAACTGGAGAGGGAGAAATGTGCTGCTGGCAGCAACTCCAGCCTCTGCAGCGAGCTTGGCTCCCAGTCAGCCACACACCCCCCCTCAAGAGCTGTGTGTGAGCACCCTGGACTAATCCTGACAGGGTGAAACAACCCCCATTCCAAAGAGCTTTGGGACATGAGTCTGCCCAAGGAATGATGCTAAAGAAGAAAATATTCGGAGCTCAACTTCCCCCCCCCGAGCCACGAGCGGGGATTTGGATCCCAAGACACTGAGCTGGAGAGCTCAGACCGTCAGTGACATTCCACACTGCCCTGAAAATCAGAATTTAAAACTGCTGAAATCAGATCATCGGGAAATGTCACTTCTTCCCCTGAAGTTCTGCCAAATGAATTTGGCTAAAACTTTCAACAAATAATAGATGATTAAACAGAAGAGCTGATGGCCAAAAAAATATGTAAGGGGCTTGGTTAATGCTCTGGGGGTGACGCTGCAGTGGTCCTGCCCTATTTTTACAAGTTTTCCTCATCTCACCATTACTTTAACTGGACTATGGGAGTAGGAGAGTGTTGCCAGAAGGGTGATGAGATATTTTGGTAAAACATGTTCAAATACAGCAAAGGAAGAGGCAACCAAACACCAGGCATGGGACAGAGTGACACTGCAGGGCTCGTTTGTGCCTTACCTGTCCCTCAGCTCCTCGGCTCAGACCTGTTCCATGTCACACATTGACTCCTCCACCACTTGTCTTCTTTCTCCCAGCTTTGATCTCGAGGGGTTTTCTCCTGTTTAATATAAAAACACAGACAAACCCACATGTACTTAAGAAACATTTCATGCATGGCCTCGAGGCATCGTGCAGGAGAGGCTGTGGAACAGCACATGGATACAAACACTCCTTCCAGACTTCTCCAAACAGCGGAGGGGTTGAGCAACCTGGGCTAGTGGAAGGTGTCCCTGCACATGGCAGGGGGTGGAATGGGATGAGCTTTAAGGTCCCTTCCCTCCCAAACGATTCTGGGATTCAATGATTAATGGCACAGCCGGCCTGTGAAGCTCCCAGAGGTTTGACAGTCTGAGTGTGAGAGGCTGGAGGACACTAGTGAGGACACAGGCCCAGATGGGACAACCTGGAGAAGGGATGTTTCAGATCTCGAAGGGATGAGATGTGGGTCCCCAGTTCCCTGCTCCATCAGCTCCGAGCCAGCCTGAAGGTGTTCTCAGCTCGAAGGTGTTCTCAGCTCCCTTCACAGAAAACCCCTCCTCTACAACACCTGGCAGTTAATGGACATCTCTCAGCTTGTATCCATGGGATCATTTCCCACAAAAGATTAAATAATATTATTAACTCCACTGTCTGTAAGTGTCAAGGTCAGAGAGGACCCACTGCAAGCCACCCGGTCTGACCCGTTACGTGACACACCACCAGCTCCACCCACCAGGTCCAGCCTCAAGCCCAGTAACTCAGAGAGAGCTTTTCATCCAGCTTTTTCCCTGGCTCAAATCCTCTCTCTGCTGCAAACAACTGCCTGAACTCAGAAGCCAAACAGATAAAAAAATTAAAAGAAAATAAGATGCCTTTTGCTAAGAGAAGCCCAAGGCTCCGGGATCATCCTTCAGCGCTGCCATTGGTGGGATTTCCTTTTGTTCCAGAACAAAAAGGACCATCCCCACCCTGCCTCCATCCTCCTCCACAGCCTCTTGGACAGCCACAGTGTTGGCAGGCAGCACAAGTGGAGCATCCCAAGCTCCCTGTTCCCACCCCACTCTCACTAATGTGTTCCATACCCACCCTCTCCCACAATCCCGGCTCTGCTGTCGCTCCCGGCACAGAGTCGGGGCTTGATCCTTGGGGCTGGTGCTGGTTATAAAGTGCTGCTCCCAACCCTCTCACTCCAGCTGGAAAAACATTTCCCAAGTGCCCACATCCCTAGGAGAGCAACAAGGAAGCACATGGTGATGGTGGCTCTGCTCTCCTGGCTGCGGGATGTGATTTCCACCCGCACTCGGCTACAGGATGTTTGTAGGAACAACAACAGCCACAATCCTTCTATCCCGGACTGCAAAGCTTTTCCCAGAGTTCTCCAGAAACCAGGAGTGAAGATGTTACTCAAGAGCCCCTGAGTATTGAATTCCAGCTGAGGATTTCACTCCAACATGACCTGCAAAAGCACACACTTCAAAACTCTCGCACGCCACGCAGACCCGGCACCTGCTCCCACCCCTCGAGGTCTGGAAAGGTTTCATTGCAAGCTCTGAATGCTTACAGTTTATAAAATAAATATTTATAGTAATCAATTTTTTTTTCAAAGCCACCAGTTATTCTGAGCCCCTGAAACTTCAGCCACTCCCGGCAAAGGACCCAAGGAATCGGAGCATCTGGAAATGGGATGCCCGGATTTGCACCAGCCAAAGGAACCACTCTCCTGAGAACCACAGGATGGTTTGGGATGGAAGAGACCTCAAAGATCATCCAGTTCCAACCCCCTGCCATGGGCAGGGACACCTTCCACTAAAAGGCATGGAGAAGATTTCCCAGGGAATCCAGGTTGGTTTTTTTTCAAAAGCCTAATTCTAATGTAAGCTCTGGAAACCCTCAGGCTGCTCATGGGACAAATGCCACCTTATGATAAAAGCAAAGCCTTCTCTCTAATAAACACCATATAACTTATATGATGTCAAAAATTCCAGCACATTTTATTTAATATTTATTTTATTTACTAATATTGTATTTCATATTTCATTCTGACCACTGTCACTGAGAGCAACGACAGCAACCCAGCACAGGCTCACCCAAAAAAAAAAAAGGTGCCTTCTCCCTGCTCCCCATCAGAGAAGCAGTGGCAAGCAGCTGTTATAACTTCATTTCATATTTTATTAGTTTTTACAAGCCAGCCATGCTAAAAGGTTGCACCAGTAATTTAAACTGCACTTGTCAGCAGAAGTGAAGGACATTGTGGGATACATTTGATTCCACCTCTTTTATTGCTTGGCTCCTCGGAGTGATTCGAGCAGCTTAAGGATTTCAGAGGCGCTGTCACAACAGGATCTGGGCCATCACAAGCTGCCATTTAAACACACACAAAAAAAAAATACCCCAAACCCCCAATTTCCAAAGATCTGGCTGGACCAGCAGAAGCTGTTGAAGACTCAGCACCTCCTGGCTGCCACCAAATCGTTCCCTGGCGGGGACAAGCACTTTAAATGTGATTCCCACCCGGCAGAGTGGCTCTGTAAAATGGGGGAAATGCTGATTTTTGCAGCTCTGCCAAACCACAGGAACACACACACAGAGCACTGGGAGCCAGCAGGGCTCTGTCCCACGTCTGCAGGTGACAAGCAGAGGAGCAGAGCACGGCGTGGCTGGAGCTGAGCCAAGCCAGGAAAGCCCCGAACAGCGCTGGTCAGAGGAGGAATGTTTAAAGATTCCCGTCTGCTTTCCATCCCAGCAGCATCCCAGGGTTCTGCTGGACTCCTCCACGGATCAAAAAGCCATTTAATTCACATCAGCCCTTCTCCTCACCACGCCAAGCTGGGAAGAGGTGCTGGTCTCCATCCTCATCCAGCTGCCCCGGACACGTTGGGGCTGGAGAGGGGAGAACATCCCACTGCTGAGGTGCCTGCCAGGAAAGGACTCAATTCCAGACCCCACTGGGAAAACTGACCCGGAAAAAACAGAGAGGGATGTTACTTTGTGGGAGGGTGGAACAAAGGGGGCCGTTCGTGGTCAAACAGCACGACCCCAAACCCAGCTCAGGTGACAGAACCCCTGAGGGGTTTGGGTCAGAAGGGACCTTAAAGATCATCCAGTCCAAGCCCTGTCATGGGCAGGGACACCTTCTACTACCCCAGGTTGCTCCAACCTGGCCTTGGACACTTCCAGGGATTCAGGGGCAGCCACAGCTTCTCTGGGAATTCCAGACCAGTCCCTCACAGCCAACAATTCCTTCTTAATCTCCCATCTGTCCCTGCAGGGACACCTTCCACCAGTATCCCAGGTTGCTCCAAGCCCCATCCAGCCTGGCCTTGGACACTTCCAGGGATCCAGGGGCAGCCACAGCTGCTCTGGGCAACCTGTGCCAGGGCCTCCCCACCCTCACAGCCAGGAATTCCTTCCAATCTCCCATCTCTCCCTGCCCTCTGGCAGTGGGAAGCCATTCCCTGTGTGCTCCCGGCCCTTGTCCCAAGTCCCTCTCCAGCTCTCCTGGAGCCCCTTTAGGCTCTGGAAGGGGCTCCAAGGTCTCCCTGGATCCTTCTCTTCTCCAGGTGAACACCCCCAGCTCTCCCAGCCTGGCTCCAGAGCAGAGGGGCTCCAGCCCTTGGAGCAGCTCCGTGGCCTCCTCTGGACTCGCTGGGATTTTCAGGTTTGGGAGCTTTCCCTTTGAGTGCATTAACAGAAGTTTTCCAGGTCACCTTTGCTGCAGAGTCGTCTGGAAGGGGGAGGTGTCAGGTGGTGCCTCAGCAAAGGAGTGTCTGTTCCCTGGGAACGGGCTCCGAGCCCCGTGAGCTCCCTGTGCCATCTGCACATCCCGTGTTGGGACTCCAAGCCCCACGGACACTCCTTTGATGTGGTGAGCTGGACTCCCAAAGGTCCCTGGAGATCACAGGGATCATGTGTTTGGAGCATAAGGACCCCTCCACCCCCTGAAACAGGAGTTTGCTGTTGCTACGTTTTTTAAAGAACATTTAAATTGCTTTTTTTTTTTCCATGTCTGATGCAGAGAACAGCCATGGAGAGATGCCCAGGAAGGCTCCTCTGCTCCCTGGGGAATCCAGCCCTGCTCTCAAACACTTGGTCTCCTCTTGGCCCCCCCAGCTTGCTGCTCCAACATAAACAGGTAAGACCTACATCCTCCTGGAAATTAAACCTGGCACCTCGGACACTGACACAGATCTCCTCCTGCCCTGCAGGAAACAGGGATGGGGGATTTGCAGCCCCAGGTGTCCTGGAGCAATCCATGTTCTTGGGGGCTGGGGAAGGCCAAGGATGGAACAGGCAGAACTGAAGGGCATCTTGGGATATTTAACCATCTCACTTTTCTTTTCTGGCCTCACCTCTTCACCAGCCACAGAAATTTGTCCATTTTCTCCAGCTCTCCTCACAGTGTCCACCAAAAAGCTTTTTCCTTTACCCCCTGGTCACAAAAACATCCCAATCTGCTTCCATCTCACCCTTTCCTGACAATTATCTCCACTTGCTTCCCTATTTTCTCTTTTTTTCAAGGCTCTTATCCAGGCTGGTTTTTCTTCCCCTCCCCTGCCTGCCCCATCATTATTTTTCCCACTGTGCTACTCCATATCTAAAATTTGTTTTCAGTGGGTTATTTGAGCTCATTGTCCTGCACTAAGGCAGACAAATATTGCAGCCTAGCACAGGAATATGCCCATGGAAATCATTCCTGGGATGCAACACTCTCACCCAACCCGAGCAAGACATGGGAACAACACAAGCTCAGATCCAGAGCTCCCAAAAGAATTCCTGGCACCCCCATACCAAGTGCCATTAAGTCCAGCAGAAGTTTGGACAACACAAAACATTAAATAAATAAAAGAGCAATACGAACAGCAGAAAGTTTCCCAGGTTAACACAGGCAACATATCCCATAAAACTGGGAATAAACCCACCTGGGCCCGTTAACTGCACTTGCTCTGTAGGATTGTTTCTGCAGAGGTTACCCAGCACACCAATACTCTGGAAAAGAATATGGAAAAGAGCTGGAAATGAAGGAGTGTTTGGGGATCCTGTTGTTATGCCAGAGTGGGATAAGGCAGGAGGGGCCTATAG